TTAGAGGCTGATAACACAACCAAAAACAGAAAGGATAGGACTTTAACCATAAACCCTGCTCAATAGATCATACACCATACAGACTCAATGTCGAAGACTAAGTAATAGAACGCACATCAAAACCATAGAAAATAAAGAAAAAGCAATAGACAATGACGACACAAATTAACCCCTGTAGGAACTACACGTCATGCCTAAGGCAAAAACCTTCGAAAGGATACCTTGAAGAATGATAGGACCAAATCACCCAAACCACCTTGGAGCATGAACAATAGCACATACACATGAGCAGTGCACAGTACTCATAAACTATGGACCGTAAACGTAAGGCATGCAAGAACGACCGTACACTTCATCAGGAACACCTAAGCCCTGAAGGTATCAGCTCAGCCGTACACAATAAAGGTAAATCAGCAGCCATGAAATCTAAACCGTAAACCGTCAAGATACGACCCGGAATCCTAAGCCTTAGCACATAGGGAATAAAACGGAACAGAAGAAATAAAGCGGCACCAATAAAGAATTAATCGTAGGGATAAACCGTACAGAGTGCCAATAAACACTAAGCCACAGGCCTTATCCATAAATCGTCGAGGCTGAACCATCAAATATCCAGCTTAAACCCTAAAGCATACAACACAGACACTAAACCCTAGATCGTAAAACCATGGAGATGGTCACAAAACCCCTAAAGGCTAATCAGTAGACCTTAGGCGCCCTCAACTACTTATCGGACCATACAAGTAAAAACTAGAGGGTAGAAAAGGCACCACGGCAATAGACTTAAACATGAGGGCGTACAAATAGAGGATAAAGCCTGACCCGTAAACTCACGAGTGAATCCATAGGGATAAGAAATAAGGCATTAATCCTAAACATTAAGCAGTACAGAGTGCACAATACAACATGACAACAGACGAAACAAAAATGAGCGAAGAACGCGGTGCCATGGATAAGACAGGGCTGAGACAGGTGCTTACATGGTGCTGCATCAGTCCGTACAATACCAGCCTAAAGACAGAGCAGTACAAGTAAACCCTATAGAAAAAACTGTACTCTTTAACCATACTTCATAAAATATGAGTCCACAGAATTACAACAGACTAGCCAAAGCAGGAGGGTAACGAATAGAAAACCAGCGTAAGCAATAATAGAAGGAAACGTAAACCATGAACCAACAGGTCAGGAAAAAAACTTAACCAATATGCCATCAGCACCATATGATAAGGGAGAGGGGGAGAAACTGAGAAAATACCCGAGCACCATAAGCCTCAAACCTCCACGCCTAGGCAATGCCTGTGGACAAGAATGCATGAAGCATGAAGCCTACTTCATCATCACTAAGCAATAAACCATACACCCAGCCACAGGAGACATAGAGCCCGCGATTTAACACAACGGGACACAGGCTCAAAGTCTAAACCGTAGAGTCTACATCAAAAAGTTAAGCATTGTGGAGTAGAGGGTACACCCTGAAGGATGAGGTATAAAAAATTAACCCTACACACCAGAAGGATAAGCAATAAGTATACACACGGAAACATCAACCATCAGGTCCTAAACAGTAGACTCTGAAGTTCAATTAGTAGGCGTGAACCATAAAGATAAAGCAGAAATGTTCACATTAAAACTGGAAGTTGAAGGCGACTTCCTAAAAGATAAAGTGTTAGTAGAAGGGCAAAGCCCCCAAATTATAATCCGTAAACCATAAAAAGTGAATCCACAAAACCAAAGCATTATACCTTGAACCTAACACGTAAACACTAAGGACAGAACCCTGGAAATAGAGCGCTACGGGATATACCATATTACGCCAAAAAGCAACCGTGAAACAGGACTCTATAACATAAGCCTAAAACTAACCCCTGACCGGTAAAAATAAAGCCAAAAACTATAAACGTAATCAATACAAGCTAAACCTAAACATAGACATATCTCACTGATCCCCGCGCCGTGAAGCCTAAACCATGGAACTTGAAGCAATACAGCCGCGGGCCTAAACCATAGATTTCACACAATAAACGAACAAGCTAGAACAAAAGGACTAAATCCTAAGCCATAAATCCTATAATCTAAATTCTGAACATGATCCGTAGAACCTGAAGCTTAGACACTAGTGTCTAGAGAAGGAAGAAATACTAGATGGTGCACCTGGAAGGCAAAGACCCACAGATAGAGATTCCTCCCAAAATCTTAATGTAAAGGAGAATAGACGCTAAAACCCAAAGACTAAGGACCGGAATATAAACCAGAAGTGATAAAAATAAGCCATTCCAACTGAAACCTAAATCGGAGACCTTAACCATGAATCTACAACTTATATATAAGGCGTACACCTTAGGACATAAGCATACACTTAAATCCAGAAAATTAAACCTAAGACGTAAAGCCTAAACCCTGAGTCGTGACTTACGAACCCTGAGCCCTGGACGCTGTACCCTAGTGCCTGAACAATGAAACGTGAACCAAAGATCCGAAACCCGAGACCCTCGACCCAGCGAGCTCAACCATAACAACTAAACACTAAAATTCTGTGGGCCCAACCGTCAACCCTGAGACATCAATGCTGAGCCTCCTCCCTAAAAGCTAAAACCCTAAACCCTAGGCCTCAACCTTAAATCTCACTCTGAAACTGACAAAAACCATCCATAATAGAGTAGCAACAGATGACTACTACAACAGACGACTAATAATAATGGAAATTATCCGACCCAGGAAAAAACACATACAACACACTAATCCGTCCTAATCTAAGCTAGATCACGAATTCGAGGTGTTGTCGAAGGTTGTCTTCAACATCCAGATGGAGGATACTCTAACATCTAATAATCCCCCCTATTAATGACGGTATAGGACACCTAAAGTGAAAGACCATACTAAAACAACAATTTGATTCACAATATATAGAGTGTACAACTTAGGTTAATTCTAATATTCTAAGACTGGGGGGTGTTAATTACATTCGAAGGTTGGTCAACCAACACCTTCCAGGATGGACTACTTAAGTGATGGTTACTCAAGAAAGGAGTATAGGTGGTGGGACAACCCATATACAACATCCTATACGGTTCAACACCACTTGTCAGAACTTGTCTAGATTGGATTACATTCCTTCCCTAACAACTCATATTAGACGATTCACAACAGTGTCTATTGGTGGTCCATCCTGTAAGATGACTTCCTATGTCAAAGGGGGAAGGCAATCACTTCTTCTCAATCCCTGACTTTCTTATCTCACTTCGGTCTTTCTACGTAGAAACAATGTCATTTGGGGGAATAGAATCCCAGTGGATCCAACTGCACAACAGAACTAATCACTCGAAGTACGATAATGTAGGATGATGTCATCTCGTGTGAGAGACGAACTCACTTCCATCCACTGTATATTCATACTCCTGAGGGACAAATTCTAATCAAGGTGGAATCATTAGACAATAAAAGAGGGATGACTCTAACTTTTAACTTACAACACTCCATCCATGGGCTTCACTAACTCAGTATGACATTACTCATCCTTCCCAAGGTTACTTAGGCTAGGCGAATATTGATCTATTCATCACTCCTCCTCCAATAATATAGGACGATGCCATGACTAAATCAACTTCTTCCACCTAACACAAATATTACATCGACACAGAGATACACAGTCATAATATAGGTGTCTAATGATTATTCATCCACCCTAAACCCGAAGTTCACAACTTTGTTAGGACATACTCTATCATTAGTCTAATACGACGACTTAGATTAAGGTGTACCAAGGGTTGGATAACAATGGTTGATCAGACAACTTCCTCCTGATATCCTAATCACACCACTATAGAAATCGGGGGTTCCAACCGACTCCTCTTAACATCCATTATAACGCTATCCTATTCTTATCCATGGGTCCAATCCTTATAGAAAACACCTTCTTATGATAGATAATTTGTCTAACTCTTATTCAGTCCCTATATATACTGTTATGTCATAGCTTTTTCTTCAATTTACACTCATCTCATTCAAATACAACCATTCCAAGGGTCAACCTAAATCCGGGGTCCATCCAATTCTTTCACAAAAAACAACTCCTCCTGTAGGCTAATCCATGGGGTCTACTTGAATTTCTCATAATACTTATACAGGGGACGTCTAACGATATATTGATTACTTCAACTTCGACACAAACACCTATTCCTGGTCGACACACTTTCACAACCATACTAATAATGAAAGATGACAACATGGAACATATCTAATGAAGGATGAAATGATTGTTCCAGTTCACCCCCTATATGGTGGTACTCCTATAACCTACTTATGAGACAACACCCCAAGGGGGGGACTTCCTTGACCCTACGAAGGAGAAAGACACCATCTCAGGGGGGGTTTCTTCCTTTTCCGATAAAACAAAGCAGAACAAAAGGATGAAACAACAACTCCCCTAAGTCCGAAATCCAATAGATCCTGGTTGTCTATGGGTCACTTTCTTGGTACCACTCCTTATAAGGAAGATACATTCCAACCCAGATGACGTCAGAGGAGATTGTTTCGATATACTGACTCAGGATTCAATCCTTCCCTGATAAAGATGCTATCTGAGATATAATTATAAGAACAAGATGTGTCCATCTACTATGTCACTTGGGACAATCTAAGTCGTCTAACAACCTTACACTGGACGTTTCACTAATAATTAACACACAAATAGACTAATAAAACGAAAGAAGGTACAAATATTAACACAATGTAGACTGCATAGGAACACACTTGAACACATAACATATTCTCCTGGTGATTACTAACATATGGAGGTAGGGTAAGAAGACAGTGGACATAACTCCGTAGTGCACCCACCTGTACATACAGGGTCTGACTCAAGGTTGTAGACGATGGTACCAAAGTGGCTGGGATTGAGGTCATAATAGTATGGGTCACTTCCCAATCCTAAACCTAAACCCTAAACCCTGAAACCTAAACCCAAGAAATCCTCTTAATTCTTCTCCCCTTCTCAGGATCCCTTATCCGCCGTTATCCTCGTCCACTTGTTGTCCCTCCCCAGAGGAGCCTGCTCTCACAGATATACACTCCTTGTTCGCCTTCATAGTGACTGCTTCCCAGGAGGCTTTAAGCTGCTCTAATCCTTTCTTTAATTCATCACTATCCAGATTTGTTCTTTCCATTAAGCTACAGAATATATTAGCGACATGCTTGCTCTGCTCCATAAAGTTCTTTTCCACCAGCTGAACACATCTTCCCCAGTTATCAGAATTTATCCTGCGACTCCTATTATTTTGTTCCCCCTTTGGATCAAATAACTTGCTTATTAAATACTTGCTCGTTCCAATATATAGTTCCGTCTGATTCAGGTAGGACCTCCAAAAAATCAAGGATAACTGCCACTTTTCAGGCACTTTGGGTAGCGATTGTAACTCCCTATTTATTTGGTCATCGGTCATCGGCGCCTCAAAACACGTATATTTGTACCAGAAACCTCCTAGCTCGGGAGGATGCCATTGCTCCTGCTCCTCATTTGCCTCAGATAATAACTTCTTCTCCCCGTGTTCGATACGATTACTTGTCCCCTCAGTATTCTTTGAAGACTTCTGCCCAGGGCCTCCCTCAGAAGGGTTCGTGTTTGTAACCTTCTTTCTCGTTCCCCACAAGCCTCTTTTAGGTCCCTTGTCTTTGCCTGTTTTGTCCTTCTCAGGCGAGGGCGAGTTGTTTTGGCTCAAATTCCTGCTCCGTCTAGGCCCTACCCGGGGGGTCTCTTTATCTTCATCAGGATCAATCAGGTAATCACATAACTCGTCCATCATATCGCAAAATATGCTCTTTTTTATCATACTACTACTCATGTAGCCGTCCGCTGGCTTCACCGATTTAACTGCTTCCGCAACCTTCTTTTCTTCGCTGAGGGGTGTTAATCCACTTTTGATTTCTCCCCCTTCCTTATACTGAAAACTACAGGGACTCGCCTTTAGCTGTGGGTTTCCTATTTGAGTCACGAATTGATCCAGCACAATGGGTCCACAAACACGCTTGTGTTGGATAGATTGTTCACTCTGAGGTCAGGAGTTTTAAAAGGATTATATGCACAATTAAAAGGATATGAAAAAATAACTAAGGAGAACACTAAGATAGAGGCATTTAACTTTAATCATCATATGCTGCATCATGCTGTCCCTAGATCTCTTAGCGTCCTTCAAGACTTTATATAGGTCAGATTCTTTCCTCTGCAAACTGCAATGACATGGGACCTCTTATCATGATAAAGCATATAATATATAGATAGATCCTTATACAGGCTCTCATTTGGCGCTATTTCAAATAACAGGAGTAATGTACACTATCCTATTTGCTTCCTGCCCCGCAGGCTCGGGCATCGTTTTCCGGAACTTACCCTTAAGAACATATATATACAGGCAACCAAAATAGTACTTAATATTTTGCAAAGAAAAGATTTACTCCCCCTGTCTGTACTTGCCTCATTCTCTTCAGGAATCTTTAAATTGTCTGCTCCAATCGGTGTTGTATATTGCCTCGTCAATGGAGGCGTGGGGGGTTCGTAGGCTCCCCTGTGCCAATATACCATACTCTTTAGGGATTCTATAGGTAAAAATAGGAAAAAATACAGGAATTGTTCTGCATCTTTTCTTGTATTTTGGAATATAACAGTGTTCACAGGGAATAAAAGAAATATATCCTCTTCTGGTATATAAATAGTACTGCCTCAACAGAACTGTAGGAACGGAAACTGAGGAAGCATATATATATATAGGTACTTATCTTTCCTTCTGAAGGTGGCCTATTAGCTATTACTACTCTTTTCCTTATTATAATATAGTATAATTCTCAGAAAGGTTTTATCAGAGGATACGAATATCATTTCATATAGCATATAGTTGTGAAGTCTCACGGAGATCGTAAAAGTGAATCTCTAACAGGATTAACGATATTTTAATAAATCCTTAAATAATGAATGAAGAAACAGTCAAAATATAATATAAGCTAAT